TCTTAGACATGAAGGTGAGCTCACGGGGCTCAAACTAGGAGCGTTGCTAACACTGACAATAACAAGAGCAGTGCTTCGCAGAATATACCACCGGATCGGAAACGCGACCCACTGAAAAGATCCGGTAAAAAACTCAGTGGGCTGTGTCTGTGGGTTAATTTACTCGTCGAGCCCTTCTTCGCAAGCGACGGCTTCGGCGAGGACGGTGACCAGACCCAATGCTGAGTGTAGGTCTTCACATGCATTACATTCTTTTCGGCCTCATCCATTCGTTACCACCTATTGTGACCTGGTCGTCGGTTCACCTCATTGCTTGTCATCCCAATTTACGACCTTAAGTACGAGGTCTCCAGTAGTTTTGAGCCCCACCGATTGTCAGTGCGACGGAATATGTGGCTAGATAGCATTCCTCACTAATGCATCCACCCTCAAGAACTCAGTATCAAAGACTGACTTTCGTCAACTTTTTTTTTTATTGCTTTGATGGGTGGACGAGCTCACAGCCACCTGGTGTTAAGTGGTTACTGTAGCCCATAGACATCTACAACGTAAACTCGCCACCCACCTTGAGATATAAGTTCTAAAATCTCAGTATAGTTACAACGGCTGACTTACCCTTCAGACCGAAACGCATTACTGCTTCACGGCAGAAATAGACAGGGTGGTGATACCTACCCGCGCGGACACACAAGAGGTCCTACCACCAGTTACTGCACAAGTACGGGTTTAAATTTCTTTGGTCACATCTACAGAAAAGGAAAGGATTCGATGGAGAGATCATGCGATCGATCACTAACCCGCTTGGCTTACCTAATAGAGACAGACAGAAAGAGTGAGGCAACTTAGTCCACCGTGGTCCAATGTACTTCAAACGCTTCGAACCGCCAGATCTGGAAGGGCATCGCTATGAAGGCAATCCTGGGAACATAGCCGATCTAATGAATGCTTCTGTTTGTACATCTTCAACGCAACCATGACCACTCTGACAAGAGCGTCCGACTAAGGGCCTGGCCACAGCTACTGGCGGTGCGTTTTGCGGTGCGTTGCGAGGCGCGGCGGGCAGCGTGATTTGCGGGGGTATGCCACAGCTAGACTAATTGCGACGGCGGCGGCGTCAGAGGTGCACGTATTTAGAGAGCCCTATCAAATGTCCCTATCAAAAGTGGCACGATATTACCTTGAAATAAGTGCGTTCTTAGCTGAAGATATTATTCAATCAAGAATAGGATCGCACCCAGTTAGAAAAGGAGAGAACTTGGCGAATTTCACACTACTTATTATTATATTAGGAATATTAGGAATTTAAGAACTATATAAGGAAAATTGATTCAACCTTCACAGAGATTACCAGGTTCAAATCTCAATTTACCATACGTGTTAATTGGCGATAAAGCCTATCCTCTTAAAAATTATTTGATGCGCCCATATCCACCGGGTGGTTTAATTGCGGAACAAATAATTTTCGACAAAACATTATCCCGGGCAAGTGTCACAATTCAGTACGCGTTTGGTATTCTAACTAATAAATTTCGTATTTTTACGAAAAGTGTAAAGGCAAACAAAAAGCACGCGACATTGATTATAAAGGTTTCGTGCCTTAAGAGAAAGAGATGGAGACAGAGATGCAGATTTTCAGCAGTTTGTTCCAATATTCACTATTCCGTCTTGATCTGCGTACGCTATAATCGAGCAACGGTTCAAGCATCTAGAATACGAAATCAATTCAAATTTCAAATTTTATTTCAATAATCCTATCCAAGAGTATCTATGAAACCATTAGTACCAGAAAATTGTTGTTTTATTTCGTCCCACATTTTTTTTATAACATGCCTATATTTATGATGTGGATGTTTTGACATCCATATTTCTGGTCTACTCAGTATTTCACTAATGAATTGTTTCACATCAATTATATTTTATTAGCTCAAAGCGCGGTAAAAACAAAATGATTTGTTTCGGTCGCGCGATGCCTCAATGCGTCCACCGACACCGCGGCGCTCGATATTGGCTAGTACATTTGTTTCACTCGCATATGGCGCAGCTCGTCGCCGCCAAATGTCACGCGCCTCTCACCGCGCTTCGCAACGCACCGCAAAACGCACCGCCAGTAGCTGTGGCATACTTCATAGGTTGTCTACCATTTGTTTTCGCCGCTCCCGCTTGCCGCGCCTCGCGACGCACCGCAATTCGCACCGCTCTCGGCTGTGGCCAAGGGGTAAGAAAAGAATGATTTTGAAATGCTAGAAGCATACACGTTCTTCAAAATCTTGACCACAGCATACTTTCTCTGAGGAATTGTTTGAAATGATCCCATCGTCTCGTTTTTACCATCGCATTCCCGCCGCCGTTGTAGAGTTCATCCATAGTACAGCCACTGCGTTCATCCACAGTGCGTTTCCAGAGATCTTTTTTGCCACGTACCGTCCGGCTATGGAATGAGCTCCCCTCCACGGTGTTTCCCGAGCGCTATGACATGTCCTTCTTTAAACTAACTTCTTTAACGGTCGTCTGGTGTAGTGGTAAGTGACATGGTCACTACACAAGGGGGTCGCGGGTTCGAATCCCGTCAAGGGAAGATATTTGTATGATAAATATAAATGTCTTTTCCAGGGTTATGGATGTATATTAAATATGTGTATGTGTATAATAAAAATCTTATATTTATTTCAGTTATCTGGTACTTGTAACACAAATTCTTTACGAACTTATCACGGGACCAGTTAATGTGGCGTGTTTAAAAAAAAAAAAAAAACTATGCTTGTGGAGAGTATTAAACGGTAGGCAGCAGGTTGGCTCTGCCCTGGCATTGCTGAAGTTATTGGCGACGGTAACCACTCACCATCAGTAGTGGGCCGTATACTCGTCTGCCTATAAGGGAAATAAAAAAGGCAACTAAATCCACCATGGCCCGATGGACTTGAAGCGCTTTGAACCGCCAGATCTAGAAGCGCATCGCCAGGAGGGCAATCCTCAGAAACATGGACAACCTAACAAATGCTTCTACGTGTACATCTTCAGACCAAGAAGAAGAATGGTTTTGAAATCAATAGGATTTTGTTTAGTTCTGTTTTTTGGGTAGATTAGGAGCGAGAAGCAATATATAATTCCAAATTAAAGACACGTTCTTTAAAATCTCAACCAGAGCATCATACTGTTACGCGCTGGGGTTCGGGAAAAATAAATGTTCCATCAAAGTACAAATTAAAACTGTATTAGCACTTAGAACGCTTAAAACACTTCACAAACACTTTAAAATTATCTAATAAATACAGACTAGAGGTCCCGCAGTAGTCGAAATTCGACTATAATTAATTGGAATTGTAGGTTTGTACACTATTATGATTGTATTTTATATTTCTATAATCACAAATTTCGCCAAGACTATACTATAAAAAATATTAACAAAGACAAACCATATTCTATTCTCAATTTGACAACAGACGTCAAGAACAAAAGTATGACAATAAATAGTATGCATTCGTGTGTGCGTCAAATACATGGTATGTAGTGTGTGTAATGTTTTCTTTATCGATTTAATGTATCTTTTATGCATTATTTTAAAATAATATTAGCATTGTGCACTTCTTCTCTATATTCTCTATAAGTGTGGAAAATTTCATTCTCCTCCGTCCGCGCAATTTTCTTAAAAAGGGATACAAAGTTTTTGCTTCACGTATTATTATTATAAATACAGATAAGTGTTGTTTAGATTCAAGTCAATCAGTTATTAGTGCTAATACAGTTTTAATTTGATTATTTTTTTTTATAAATGAATAAATATTTACTAACAATCACGCCACATTAACTGGTCCCGTGCTAAAGAACTTTTGCTACAGGTACCAGATAACGGAAATAAATGTAAGATTTTTATTATACACATACATATATTTAATAAACATCCATAACCCTGGAAAATACTTTTTTTTTATATTTATCATACAAATATCTTCCCTTAGCGGGATTTGAACCCGGGACCCCCTTGTGTAGTGACCATGTCACTTACCACTACACCAGACGTAATACGGCAGAATTTTTATTTATCCCGAACCCCAGCGCGTAACAATACCTTTTAAGCTTTTCCGAACGGGCCGGTATTTTAGAATGAAACATCGCTCAAACAGAATCTATATATTATGCCGAGTTTACATTACGAAATTAGTGTCATGCATGTTGAGCTCAGTTTCACGAAAGTAGTTTCAATATATGCGAAAGTAATTTCGTTAAAAAATTAGTGTCGCGAAATCCACAGTATCGCAGTAACCATGGCGCCTTCAGCATCAAAGCTATAATTTGCTATATTCAATGTAGCTAAAGAAATGCTAATATACCTATAAACTTAAAAAAAGACTATCAAGAAAAAGAAAAGTTGGTAGATTCGAGGATGGTCAACAAGAAGGCATTTAGGTGCAATGAAGTTAGTCTCTGAATTAGCAGATGAAGATCCTGAGAGTTATAAAAACTATTTTCGAATGAGTGAAGATAATTTTGATTTTTTACTATAGGTGTTTCGGGACCCTTGTCATTGATATTCATTAATAAGATCTATATTTTTTTCTGTACNATCATATTAATACGTGAAGCAAAAACTTTGTATCCCTTTTTACGAAAATTGCGCGGACGGAGGAGTATGAAATTTTCCACACTTATAGAGAATATAGAGAAGAAGTGCACAATGCTAATATTTTTTTAAAATAATGCATAAAAGATACATTAAATCAATAAAGAAAACATTACACACACTACATACCATGTATTTGACGCACACGCGCATGCATACTATTTATTGTCAAACTTGTTCTTGACGTCTGTGGTCAAATTGAGAATAGATTAAATATTGTTTGTCTTTGTTAATATTTTTTATAATGTAGTGTTGGCGAAATTTGTGATTATAGAAGTATAAAATACAATCATAATAGTGTACAAACTTACAATTCCAATTAATTATAGTCGAATTTCGACTACTGCGGGACCTCTAGTATATCATAAATATATAAACTCACAGAAGGCGCGTAGTTTCCAGATAAGAAGTATCTCAGCTTCGAAACAGCCTCCTTGTAAGCCAGCTCCGTATAATCCGGGATCCGTTTCAATCCATAATCATTCATTTTCATCGGCCTCCTGTACTTAAAATACGAATACATTGTCAGCGGTTCACAGAATCTAAATTAAGCACGTTTCATTTTTGAATAAAAAAAACAAATGCATTTTTGGCCATTGAAATTAATTCAATTGATTTAATGAAGTTCGATATCCATCACGCGTCATGGTTCTGCGGTCAATGCGATCGAGTTCGGTATGTAGTATTGATTATACAGATTCTGGTTGCTATGGTTACGGTTATAAACAAACGAATTGCCTCAATCGGCTGTGTATAACACCGCCACTCATATCTCAAGGTAAGTGGCGGCATTTACGTTGTAGATGTCTATGGGCTCCGGTAAAAACTTAACACCAGATGGGCCGTGAGCTCGTCCACCCATGTCAGCAATAAATAATATATTTAACTAACCTATAGACACATCCCAATGAGTTTCTCGTCGGATCTTCTCAGTGGGCTACTTGTAAGCAATTAAAAAAGAAACTCATTTTTGCCTATCTACTGCTAATGATCTGTGTGCTAATTGCGAGTTTCTTAACGTTCTCGATAACGTAAAAGTTAACTCATATTTGTACGGAATTGGTACGTTTGCCTACATTTGCCGCAAGGGGCGCTTTTTTTTTCTCGGGCCGGGGGCCGAACCTCCTACGAGGTCCCCGCGCATACGGGGCGCTGTTCCAACTGCATACAAAGGACAATGCCCATTTTCTTTGGGCGGTTGGTCCCCTAAAAAGTTGTCGTGTCATAGTGGTTTTAACTTAATTTTCTAGACAAAGAAATATCGTTTCATATTCAGAAAACGATTTTTATATTCTCACCCAGGTTTAAGAGAATTCTGTTTTTTTCTGCAACTAAAATTAAGTTGTTAGTAGTTAGTAGTAATAGTTTTTCAAGTACAAATAGTTTTGAAACAAAGTTGGCCCACTTTTGGGCATTGTCCTTTGAGTTAACTTTTACTCTATCGAGAACGTTAAAAACTCGCCCTAAGCACACTGAAGACGCTATACCAGCTTCACCAAACGTGTAGGCTCAACTTGAGAGTCTTTGCTACCATCTACCCTGTAAAGAGCCTTGCTTCGCTGAATTTACCACCGGAATTGCGACCCACTGAGAAGATTAAAAGGCTATAAAAGACCTTAAAAGGCTATACTTTACTAAGATGAGACTTTCCAGTAAGCACAGCGCTTGGCTGTTCCCCTGACTCGGTATCTACGAACGCCCCTGACCACTTACCATCAGATGGACCGTATGCACGCCCGGCTGCAACGGCAACAGAAAAAGCTAGAGCAGAGTTAAGCAACTAAACCGTTGGAATTCATTAATTAAATAACATTAATGACTTTATCAGAAGCACGCATACTTCAAATTGGCGTAATCTAATATTGATTTTTAACGTTATCCGAATTCCCGTAGCGAGATATCAAAACTGGTGAGTAAATTAACCCACAGACACAGCCCACTGAGTTTCTCGCCGGATCTTCTCAGTGAGTCGCGTTTCCGATCCGCTGGTAGATTCCGCCGAGCACTGCTCTTGCTAGCGCCAGTGTTGAAAACTCCTCCGGTTGGAGCCCTGAGAGCTCACCTACACGCTAGGGCAACGCTGATATAGCCTCTCAAGGCTATCAGCATAGGAAGTGAAAAAAAAACATTCGGACCGTCGGTCTACCGAGCAATATCGCCAGCTCGGTAGAAGACCTTCCTTTCGCATAAAATCAACAGCACTTACCGAATTTTACTTCTTTTCAATTTCCCGTTCGTCTCCCTGTCGGAGCCTACGCTGGACCCACTCTTCGCTCTGAAGCCGGCCGACTTGGGCTTAGTCAAAAAACTAGTCGAGCCCATACCTAGTCCCTCCCACTCTACCATCAAACCGAGTTATTAATAAAACCGTCTTAAAATTGAGCGAAATCAATTCTAAAGATTCCGTAACACAAAGAACTAGCTGAAATTGTGTGATCTTCAAATAAATAGCGCGCCAGTAACGTCTCGACGACGGAAACGGAATGAATTTCAAAAAAGGAACTTCTCGTAGCTTCCTGTGTCTGTCTCGCTCGCGCATTCGAAGGAAATTATTTATACATCGAAACGAAAAAGCTTTTCCGACATCTCTATTGTTTAAGAGCTGCCGATTTTTTCCTTACCGACAACGTGTTTTATTGAATTATAACTACTGTTTTTTTACAATTCCCCAAAGAAATTGCCTAATTGGTTTTCGTGATAGTATATTTGACTACGTGAAAAGCAAATGAGCGAAATGTTTTGAAAATAAATTCGAAAGAGCAGTAATTTTTTTTTGTTGCTTAAGTATGTGGACGTGCTCACGGCCCACCTGGTTTTAAGTGGTTACCGGAGTTCATATACATCTACAACTTAAATGCGCCACCCACCTTGAATGAGTTCTAAGGTCTCAGTTTTTACAGAACAACGGCTGCCCCACACTTCAAACCGAAACGCATTACTGCCCCACGGTAGAGATGGGCAGGGTGGTGGTACCTACCTATGGGGATTCACAAGACGTCCTACGTAAATTACGCAAATTATAATTTTGCGGGTTTGGCTTTTAGAACACGATGTTATTCCTTCACCGTAGCGAGACCGTGAGCGGAGCGCTGATGAACGTGGAGAAAGCCTTGGCTACTGGATCGAGCTCCATTTGTGCGGTGGATTCGAACACCGGTGCATCGCTAGGACATCCATGCACCGGACGTCTTATCCTTTAGGCCACGATGACGACAAGGCGTACCGAAACTTTAAGTCAAGCGGATACGGGGCGACCGCCTAAGTAGTAAGTAAGTACTTGTTCAGGGAAAAATACAAAAACAAAAATCTAAGTGATAACAGGTATATTTATGAAAACGTAGATAATAGACACCCATTCATTTATTTAAATGTAGAACAAACATTTTCTACAACATCAAACATCCAGTATTTTTCGTAAATTTTATTGTCCGTGTAGTAAAGTTAAAGAGAACATGACTAAAAAGTTCTAACTGCTTACTAGCTTCAAAACTTATGTCATCTTGCTTGCCCTTTTATACCGCGAAACAATAGAACCTTCTAGCTTAAATGACAGGAGCCTTTTTGAGTTCCGGTCACCGTCCTCGTCGAACCCGTCGCTTGCGACGAAGGGCTCGACGAGTAAATTAACCCACAGACACAGCCCACTGAGTTTCTCGCTGGATCTTCTCAGTGGGTCGCGTTTCCGATCCGGTGGTAGATTCCGCGAAGCACTGCTCTTACTAGGGTCAGTGTTAACAACACTCCCGGCTTGAGCTGAAATAGCCTCTCAAGGCTATCAGCTTAGATACCTAGGGAAAAAAAGACTGTGTCTCTATGTGATCGTCTATATACCTACAGCAAAAAAACAAGTCTGGCTCCCGGAGTAAGTGACAGGCGGTGTCTTGCGTGTCACACGGCGTTCTGGGATTCACTGAGAAGTTTACAAGCACGCGACCAACATCAATAACGGTGAAGCAATAGTTACAGGGAAAAGTTGCAGGTTCGAGATTGCCGACAGTTCACCGCTACCTTTTTCGGTTTTTCGAGGAACCGGAAATTGAAGTTGTTTTTTTTTTACAAGGTTTCAGCGTTGTTGTTTTGAAGTGAAAACTTTTTGGCACTTTTGTACTTTTGAAATTCGAAAATTACTTGAAATCTATAAGATTTAGCTTGCAAAAAAATGAGATAGAATAACTTCATAAGTTCTCACTACACATGTTTTTCATTGGAACCTCAAAATGATTACTTGTCCTAAATATTTTGGTGCATATATATATTTAAATTAAAAGCCATTATACATATATTGAAAAGTTCAATTTGAACAAAAATAATCTCATCGGATCTTATGCTTCTGCGGTCGAGAAAAGTGATGAAGCGTTCCCAGGCGGCTATTGTTGCTGTTATTGTTATTGACATAACTATAAAATAATAAAATTTAAATAGGAACGTGAGGGGCTAGCTTTAATAGAAGGGAAAATCCTAAAAAAAGTTCTGAGGGTACACATAAAAAAAAACAGTCCTAATATGTCCCAAACATTGTATTAAGCTTTTAAGTTTAATTTTGTCATTATATTGGTGTACCTAACTGCAGTAAAGCGGTTTTGTATTACATTATATTCTATCGCATATCGTTTGAAATTATTTGGCTGTTATTTACAAAACTAGATCATATTTCTTTGAAGATATCACGGGACGGTACGAATGTCGCGTGATTCTTGAATATCGAATGTACGTGATACTGTTCGCTGTTGGAATCGTACTATAAGATGCGCCTTCAACTTTGAAATAACAAATTACTATTTTGTGATTTTGAACAAAAATATTGTGAACGGGCGATGTTTTCTTAATCTTGTCTTCTACCAGTCAATCCCAACCCGCTTTGCTCGCGAATATTTTATTTTATTTTGATTTTTTTTTATATCTTATATGGGTGGCCCACCTGGTATTAAGTGGTTACCGGAGCCCATAGACATCTACAACGCTAATGCTATCACCCACTTCGAGACGCGAGTTCTAAGGTGTCAGTTTTAACATTATGTACAACGGATGGGGCCATCCTGTGATACGATTGCTACCAAATCTGAGGATTATCCGCTAAGTGAATTCTAAGTTTTCCCGACAATTTAATAGTAATCGATCCAACCATTGTGGAGCCTATAGGGAAATACGCACGTTATATATCTACAAATGTATAAAAGCTAATATAGGTATGTTCAAATAAAACACGAGAACCGATTGCCCAGTGGAAACAAAACTTTGCACAGATATAAATGGCGACATGATTACTCCGACAAACATGACATGTCCTCATTTCCATCTCCATCTCTTAGACATGAAGGTGTGCTCACGGGGCTCAAACCAGGAGCGTTGCTAACACTGGCCCTAACAAGAGCAGTGCTACGCAGAATCTACCACCGGATCGGAAACGCGACCCACTGAGAAGATCTAGCGAGAAACTCAGTGGGCTGTGTCTGTGGGTTAATTTACTCGTCGAGCCCTTCGTCGCAAGCGACGGGTTCGGCGAGGACGGTGACCGGACCCAATGCTGAGTGTAGGTCTTCATATGCATTACATTCTTTTCGACCTCATCGATTCACTACCAGCTATTGTGACCAGGTCATCGGTCTACCTCATTGCTTGTCTTCCCAAGTTACTTTCAGTACGAGGTCCCCAGTAGTTTTGTACCCCACCGATTGTCAATACGACAGAATATGTAGCCAGATGGCATTCCTCACTAAGGCATCCATCCTCAAGAACTCGGTATCAAAGACCGACTTTCGTCAACAGTGCAAATGAGGGTTTTAAATTTCTTTGGTCACATCTCCAGAAAAGAGGATTCGATGGAGAGACCTTGCGGTCTCTCTCTCATAGAGAAGGCAACTTAGTCCACCGTGGTCCAATGTACTCGAAACGCTTCGAACCGCCAGATCTGGAAGGGCATCATCAGGAAGGCAACCCTGGCAACAGGACTTTTAGACTGGTGGTAGGACCTCTTGTGAGTCCGCACGAGTAGGTACCACTACCCCGCCTATTTCTGCGTGAAGCAGTAATGAGTTTCGGTTTGAAGGGTGGGGCAGCCGTTGTAACTATACTGAGACCTTAGAAATTATATCTCAAGGTGGGTGGCGCATTTACGTTGTAAGATGTCTATGGGCTCCAGTAATCACTTAACACCAGGTAGGCTGTGAGCTCGTCCACCCATCTAAGCAATAAAAAAATAAAAATAAAAACATGGCCGACCTAATTAATGCTTCTGTTTTTACATCTTCAACGCAACCATGACCACTCTGACAAGAGCGTCCGACTAAGAAGAAGAATGATTTTGAAAAGCTAGAGAAGCATACACGTTCATCAAAATCTCGACCGCAGCAGACTTTCTCTGAAGAATTGCTTCAGATGATCCCATCGTCTCGTTTTTACCGTCGCATTGCCCGCCACCGTTGTAGAGTCCATCCATAGTACCTAAAGCCACTGCGTTCATTCACAGTGCGTTACATATATTTAATAAACATCCATAACCCTGGAAAATACTATTTTTATATTTATCATACAAATATCTTCCCTTAGCGGGATTGTAACTATACTTGAGACCTTAGAACTTATATCTCAAGGTGGGTGGCGCATTTATAGATGTCATAGATGTCTAGATGTCTAGGGGCATAGATGGTTATAGATGTCTATGGGCACCAGTAACCACTTGACACCAGGTGGGCTGTGAGCTCATCCAACCATCTTAGCAATAAATAAATAAAAAATTTGAACCCGGGACCCCCTTGTGTAGTGACCATGTCACTTACCACTACACCAGACGTAATACGGCAGAATTTTTATTTATCCCGAACCCCAGCGCATAACAATAAGTTTTAAACTTTTCCGATCAGGCCGGTCTTTTAGAATGAGACATCGCTCAAACACAATAAACGATAAAGGCGCAATAAAAATACATTTTCGTTATCCAATACTTTTATTAATAAACAGGAAAAAGAAAAAAAAAACTAAAAATTTCTACTTTTTGGTGTTAGTAGCTACGCGACGTACTTAAACTTAAGAACGAATTAATGAACAATAAATAATGGTTTTTAAGTAGATCGTAAATTAAATCGAATTGCACGAAATTATAGGTTATTCGTATGTATTCATAAATCTAGACATTTATAGGGATAGTTTTTCTAAATTCATTGTAATCGATATACGAATTCAATCGATCATTTTTATTCGATTGTTATTTTGTTTGTTTGTATTTATTGTTTTGTATTTTTACTGGTGGTAGGACCTCTTGTGAGTCAGCACGGGTAGGTACCACCACCCTGCCTAATTCTGCCGTGAAGCAGAATGAAGCGTTTGGGTTTGAAGGGCGGGGCAGCCGTTGTAACTATACTGAGACCTTAGAACTTATATCTCAAGTGTCGCATTTACGTTGTAGCTGTCTATGGGCTCCAGTAACCACTTAACATCACGTAGGCTGTGAGCTCGTCCACCCATCTAAGCAATAAAAAAAAACTTTACAAAAGCACGTTATGATCGCGGTATATGGTAGCCGTGCAT